TACATGTTCATAATGCTCCTGTAAGCTTCTTGAGAAAAATATCAAGATGTCATCTAAATAGACTGAGCAGAAGTTGTCCAGATATCTATGTAATGCTCAGTTGATATATTTTTGAAATGTACTTGGAGCATTGGCCAAATCAAAGGATGTAATCAATTACTCAAATAGTCTGTATTTGATTCTAAAGGCTGTCATCTACTCATCACCTTCCATGATTCAAATCTTGTGAAAAGCTGCAATAATGTCCAGCTTAGTGAATCATTTAGTCTGTTCAATTTGCTGTAGAGTCTTACTGATTAAAAATAGAGAATATCAATTCTTTTGAGTGATTTTATTAATAGCTTGATAGTTCACACAGAATCTTACTTCACCCCCAGGCTTCTTTGTGAATAGTACAGAGGTGGCTGCAGAAGAGTTGCTCATGTAAAGGGTTAAGCTCTAAGAACTAGAGGCTAGTCCTCCTATATAACAAGGATGAATTGCTTGAGAAAGGGAAGAAAAGAATGAGATGAGAACTCGAGCTTAAGCAAGCTCGCGTAGCACGATCACGTGCGCACGTGCGAATGATGGCTAGGCTGAGTCAGCCAGCCAGAGTAAATCTAGGGGTTCAACCCCTTATAGCTCACTTTAATAAAATTCTTATCTACATAATCTGTAAGAGTCTTTCACAAAGTCAGTAGTTTCTCTCAAGATATATTATATAATGAGCTTCAAGGGGTTGTTCTGCACTATCATCAGTCTTTTTAATCAGTTCAATTTCATGATCTCTATCTGAGCTATGAAGTGGGGATAGAGTGTTGGCAGCTTTCTTATCAAATACATTCAAAAACTCATGATAATGTTCAGACAGCTTTTCTCTAGAGTCAATCTTTGATTTCACTTCTAGAGTCTTTTGAATGTCAGCCAAACTAACAGTGAAGATCTTGATGTTTCACTTCTCTCAAGTGCTCACAAGCCTAGAGAAGCTTATGGCAGAGATGGGAATCACATCAGCTTTTGCATTTGAACTAGGCTCTATTTCTATGCTACTCTCTTCAAATCTCACAATTCTTTAATGAGGGATCATGGTCATCTTTTGCTGGGCCAGCCAGGGGTCATCTAGATACATATTATGACTATATAATTCATTCATCATATAAAGAAAGATCTATTTAGTTATATGATCATCTATATCAATTTGAATGCCAGTCACTATGCTTGTGGAGAGTCTTATGGAGTCTTCAAAGCCAGTCATTTTAACAGAGAGAATTTCAATGCACAGAAGCTTATGCTTGTTAACATAGAATTGAGAAATAAGACTATAGACATTACATCTACTGTCTATTATTGCTTTAGTTGAAAAGGTATTATCTATTATAGCATTGACAGTGAAGGATTTGAATGTCATCTTAGATTTAAATCTTCTCCATTGCTTCTTTATAAGCTTCTTATTTCACTTCTTTCAGTATCTTTTAATTGGAGCTACTTTTTTTCTCAAATCCTCACTCATATTCATATCATCATCATTCAGTACTGGCTTAGGGATCACCTTAGCTATCATAGAGGTGGTAGAGTATCTGAGAGATTTGAATAAGCAGCTATTAATCATATGATCTTCAGCTTTGCATCTCAGGCACAGGCCTTGCTCTCTTCATTAATTAACCTCTGTCTGATTTATCAATTTGATGTAGCAGGTGCTTAGAATCATAGCATCAGAAGAGAGATTTATTAGATCATCAGTGGAAGCTTGAGACTGGTTTTATTGATCAAGAACAGCATAATGAAGTAGAGAGTGTGAATTAGATGTTGTATGATCTGAAGAAGATCTGTCCTCACAACATTTAGACTACTGTCTTAAAGTCTTAAGCTCAGAGAGTTGATGATCAACTAATCTAAGCTCCTTGCAGTAATTCTCATAGACAGATGATTCTCTTACATTCATCATGCTTTCCCTCAGCTCTATGCTTAGGGTGAATTTTAAATATCTCTTTTTAATATGATCATCTTATCTATAATCACCAGCTTCCAGCAGTAGCTGATTAAATTCAGACAGAAAGTCAAAGAGAGCTCTTCTACTCTGTCATAGATTGTTGAGCTTTTGCATAGCCTTTTCTTATTATGCAGAATCACTAAAGAGCATGCATATCTGCTTCAGTAAGCTCTCTATTATGAAGTTGATCTTGTTTTTATTACTCTCAACTCAGGGGTAAATTTGAGCTGCTGCCATTTCTTTCAGTCTTGAGTACACATATCAAGCACATTTCTCATTATTATCTAAAGCTTTCTCATCAATCTTAAGTTTTGATTGAAGCTTTAGCTCTCACTGAGGGTAGTGCTTCAGATTAGAATCATCATACTTCTTGCAGTTCAGTAGCTTGATCTTTGATCTTCTGACTGCAATGAGTGATTGTGAGTTTGATTGAGAAAGAGTTGATGTTGAGATGTTCAAAGCTTGTCATAGATTAGCTATTTCAGCTTGCTGAGCTACTATTAAATCTCTGTTCTCACACTGGACCTGTTCCTGCTGTTGAAGAAAGATCATTCATTGTTGTTCATAGCTGCTGAGAGTGTCCTTGCTTATTACTTCATATTGATTCATTTGTGTATTTGTTATACAAGTCTGCTACTTTATCTCATTCAGCTAGATGTTTTCAATGTTGCTCATTCATTTGTTAGCATGATTGCTAACCCAGTCTATTCATATATCAGTGCTATCATTGAACTTTATGATGCAGGATTTAAGACTCTCAATAGTCTGTTATATGTCAGCACATTTGCTAAGCTTCATGATACAGAATTAAGACTTTCAGTGGCCTATCAATGAAAGGAGTGAAGCAATTCATAATGTAGAGGATTAAGCTCTAAGAACTAGAGACTGGTCCTCCTATATAACAAGGACGAATTGCTTGGGAAAGGGAAGAAAAGAATGAGATAAGAACTCAAGCTTAAGCAAGCTCACATAGCATGATCACATGCGCACATGCAAACAATGACTAGGCTGAGTCAGCCAGCCAGAGTGAATCTAGGGGTTCAGCCTCTTATATCAGTGATTCATTCTCAATATATCAGAGTTACTGAAGATATATATAAATCTTTACCTAGTCATTCATATCTTTGATCACTTAGATTTCTCTTCAGTTCTGAGATATAAACTTATCTGCTTTCTTAACTAGTCAAGTCTACTCATTCAGCTTCTTATCAGACAGCGTACATGTTGTGAACCAACAGGAGACTCCCAGGGATCATTGGATAAGAATTGCAGAGGATAAAGGAACTAGAGTTTCAGACAGAATAACCCTGGGTTCCAGGACTAACCTAAAGAGATGATCACATGATTGATAGATTGATAGATTGGTATGACTATCTATCAGACATTACCAAGTCTACTGGGTAGTAGATTGGTAGGCTGATATGACTATATACCATGGGCTGTCAGATCTATCAAGAGGTTTCCATCATGTATATAAACATGCTCATTACCCCTAGGATCAAGAGACCTATCTTCTTGATCAATGATCAATTTTATATTTTCCATTCATCTACCTGATCTCTACTCCACCCTACCCACATTGTGTCTGTGTTTATCTGATACATCCCCACTCCTATACTTGTCATAGCTTTGACCACCTAACTCTACACCCTCTCAGGTGCCCATCTCACTCAAGCCCTACGCACACCTGACCCCCTAGCTGTAGCTATCATTGGTTATAAGGATCCTCTAATTGATGTCCTTACTACTTGTGATAGTGGCACTACCCCCTGTCCTAGTTATCAAGCTTACGGCACTCCCGTTCGGCTTAACCTTACCCCTCAGCTACAGGTGAAGCTTGCTAGTGATAGAGGCTCGGTAGCAGTACATGATGGCAGTGTTGACTTTTCATCTCAATGTCATCTACTTACATCACTATTAATTTTATATTTATGTAAAACAGCTAGCTGGCAGCTATAATACTTTATTTTCTCTTCATTGTAATTATATGAATATAATATAACTATAAAACAATACTGTATATTATATTTAAATATTATACAGAGATGTTACAGTTGCTAGCAGACTGATATTCATTTTATTTATCTTTAATTGATAATATATCAGACTGTAGTAAGTATAATGAGTGCTCTTCAATATGAAAAGCAAGAAAATTAAGTAAAGTATATTTGTATTATTAAATAATTAAATTATATAATGCTAAATTTGTTTAAATTTTATTCTCTAAATTACTTTATCACGGAATTCTTTTGTCAATACAAAATGAGACTTTATAATAATATTTAAAAATTATAACATTTCATTTTTTACCTTATTTATCCTTAAAATATAAGTAATCATTTCTCAAAAATATATGTGAGAGAAGATGGGCTTTTCAAAACTTCATTAAATATTCATTTAATTAGAACTTCTTTCTGTTCAAAGCTTAATCATTGCTAAAAGACATGACTGACAGGCTTGAATCAGTCATTTGATTATAGAAAATGCTTCTAAAGATGTTAAATACTATTGCTGCTGCTTGTACAGAGTAATAAAGACTATTTTCTAGACTGTTAATAGCTAATTGAATAGATTCTTCATGTTAACAAGCCATTTTAACAAATTGGTTAAATTGCCGCGCTTTTGATTGAATGTGGTGGATTTTACACTGTGGACAGATTCTAGAGGAGGTATTTTAGTAGAGATGCTGCCATCTCATATTATCGAGGCATAAAAGTAGTAATTTACTCAGTAAACAGATTTAAGATATATATATATATATATAAATATGCAAGAATTTGGTGCTGTTATTTACAGTACATATATATTCATATCTAAATCATCACCAACTCAAACTCAAGTCTTCCTGCCAATGCATAAACTATCATTATAAAACTATACAGGACATGAATTCATAAATTTCTGTTTTGAATCAATTGCCAGTTGCAAGCACCACGCATCAACTACACATTATAAAAACGCCAGGAAAAAAGAAATCAGGAGAAAAAAGAAGTAACATCAATGATAAAACCTTCAGAAGCCCCTAATCATTTCACGGTTTCAGCGCAACTTTAGCACCATGGTGACTGGCGCATGTTATTGTAATCCACTCCCTCCACGGTTCAGGGTCACGCGACTCAATGGTGCGGAAGTGCTGCATAAGGCGGATTGTGGTGTACGAAGCTTCCGCGAGTGCGAATTGTTCTGATTGTTTTAATGAACGGGGAGATATTTTGGTTAGATACTTCAACCGTATTTTATAAATCTTGGGATTTGGCCGGGGAATAGTTTCACAAAGGGAAAAGAGAATGTAAGGCAATGTAAGTAAAAACTTACGACCAAGACAAATCCGCGGCCCACCATTAAAGGGTAGATACTCCCACCCAGGTCTGAAGGTCTCCCATCTCTCGGGTTTGAATTCAGAAGCATCGGGTCCGTAAATGTCCTTGCGTCTCTGCATGGTATAGACGCTGTAGCCGAGTGAGGTACCCTTTTTGACAAGGATGGGGTGCGATCCGTCTGGTCCACCACCCCGTGGGAGGATAGTATCACAGATTGCAGTACGTGAATTGACTGGAACGACAGGCCAGAGGCGCAGGGCTGGATTTTAAAGATGTCAGTAGAAGTTACGCTATTAATAGGGACTAACAGAGAGGTTGAAACAATGTCCAAGGAACATTTTCTTTTTCTCTTTTGTCAGCTCACTTTCGTTAAGAACATAGCGAAGATATTTCATATTTTTCATTTCTTCGAATGTGGGCTTCTTTCCATCCAGCTGCTCAACTTCCATCTGCAATTTGTTCCACACATCGGCTCGTTTGGAGATTATGTTCCAGACATTCGCCAATAGACTCGCTGTAGTGTCACGGCCAGCAAGTAAAATGTTCAAGGTTTCAGAGCGGAGGGCTAGGGGATCTTGAGTCTGCTTAACCAGTTCATGCAGGAAAATATAACGGCGCCCCTTTTCTTGCACGGGAAGCCGTCCTTGCTTCTCGTTCATGTGATGCTCGAGAGCTTTCATTACATATCGATCGGCAAAATCATGGATGAGTTTCTCATCCGTAACAAATCGCTTGTCGGTTTTGAAATATCTATCAAGAAGTCCAAATCTCAAGGAATTCCCAATTTCTGTCGTGCAGTATGTGAAAGCTTCACCGAAGTTTTCACCTTCAAGGGACTTGTTGTTTTTCTGCAAAGTATTGGCTGATTCTCCAAACAAAAATTCGGTTGCCGTGTCTAACGTGAGGTCGAAGAAAAGTGGTTGCAGGTCAACAGTAGATCCATCTGTCGGGATGGTGTTGACAAGATCCTTTATGTGAGCTTCAAAGGTAACCAGGTCAGCAACCTGGGAACGGTTGAAATTTGGCCGCAACATAGTTCTCGAGTGCTCCCATTGAGGGCCGTCTGTGGTGAATATGCCCCATCCGAAAACACTGTGGAAGCCCTTCTTCCTGACGTGGTTGATTTCATAATCTGCGAATTTAAGAGACAGCACGGTTTTAATGTTATCGGGCTCGCAGGTAGAAATCGCTAAAATTAAGTTAGTCTTATGAAGATAGGAACCCTAGACTCCGCATATGAAGCAGAAAATCACTAACCCGGCGTCCCTAGACTATTGAGTGAGTAAGTATTCCCGTATAGGTGATGGCGCTTTTGGAGCTCTTCAAGGATGGTGTTGGTCTTCTTATGAGCCTTGACCTTCAGAGCTAGATCCAGGCCAAGGATGGGATCTCTGTGCGGATATGCCGGAGGTGGTTTACAACCATGTTCTTTTGCCAACATACGGCGACCAGCACCCACAGTCAAGTAAAAATATACTTGATAAAGACCGAGGAATCCCAAGCCTCCCAGGAGGAGATGTATCAGTGACAGCATTGCGGATGTAAGTATGACGAGTTCTAGGGCTATTCGATCTTTCTGGCTGTTGTCTCGATGTCGCTCCCTCAACTACAAGTTGTCCCACTAATATATATTCTGCGACACTTACTAGGTAAGAAAGCATTCATATCAAATCAGAGAACAAAGACCTACAGTGAATAACCAGAAGTGATCAATCGGCATCAACAGATGTAAAAGGAAATGAGGAGGTAGGGGAGTGACTTACTTCGTTAACAACCGTTCAGTTAAAGATTCACCGTCGCCGTTGATGGGGGAAGAAGTTTTGCCACGAGATCCTCCATGTGAAGCTGGGAATATCCTAGCGGGATACATGCAGATATCCCAAGAAATATATATATTTCTACCCAAACGACAAAGCTCCAACAAAGAGGGTTTGATAGCGGATGGGCTTGGTGCTTTCTTTCATAAAACAGAGACCAAAAAAAAAAAAAGGGAAGAGGAATTCATCCCGTATTTCCGAGATTCCACGGCCAGTAGTGCTCACAGGATGCGACCCGGTATTGGTTAGCATGCTTGGTGATGGGATGGATCTTCGGGTGAAGGATGGGACAGCCCAACCATGAGTCGAGATGCCTAGGCTCAGTGATTGTTGATCGTCTACGGAGTCCACGGAGTCGTCAAAATACTACAGTATATCCCATGCGCAATGCGGGGAACGGCTGAATTCTCCAGCCCAGCAAATCCACGTAACAATTCCACAGATTCCAAGCTTTTTGGCTCTCGCCTGGGTCGCCTGCGTGCCCCTGGTTGGGCATTTCTACTGCGCTGTGCTCCTTAAACGCCCTCGCAACCACCCAGCCAGCGCCACTTTAACCCTCTGGCGACAACATGGCGAGCACCTCCATGGTCCAAAAGCTCCATATAAAATGATTCACATGGAAATCCTCGGATACTACCAGGCCCTCGGCGGGTCCTGTTCCCATGAGTCTGCCCCATATGCCCTCAGCCGCGGGGTGAAAGTCAACCCGCACGCCGAGTTGCGAGATTCCAGGGCCCAGTCGCTAGGCTGTCCGCTAGAAGCCAATATGTGTAGGTTGGTATTACAAGAGCTGTTATTCGTCAGAGTCAACTTGAGCTTTGACAAGACAAAGATTATTTTAAGGGTTCCTCAGGAGTCGATTTCGAAGTCTTGGGGCTTATTTTTGCTGGTTCTTTACGGAATCGGAGGCCCAGCGTCCAGGGTAAGAGTTATGCGGAGATTAAAGTGTTTGACCACGGTATGGTGACGCTAAGATCTAGTTGCTGGGATTCACAGATCGTTAATCCTGGCCCTATCTCGGCTGCACCGTAGCCAGGCTTTTCTATGAGGATTTGTTTCAGACTGCATTGGCGGGGGCTGTGTTTAATCGCAGTTGGATCAACGAGCAACATTATGGTGTCTTTGTGCCACTCCATTCCTTGCCTCGGTGCCGCTATGCAATATTTCACGATATTGTAATCCATGTTCAAGGATAATGCATCGCAAAACGGTGCCGCCAGATGGCTTCTCGCCAGATTTCATTGGGTCATGAAAAAACAACTTTAAGCCAACAGTAACTAACATTACCTGCAAAACTTTGTTTCGATCACGGAAAACCCCAACATCAAAATGTTGATTAATTACCCACAATTTCCTTTATTAAGCTTCGGCATCTGAAGTAGAAGATCTGGAGTCGACCCAGTTCGTCTTTTAGTGACTTGCTGAGTATTCTACGATGTAATGAACAAAGAGAGGCTTTCATTATCAGTGGTCATCAATTACCATGGCGCCGAAATGGGATACTCTCATGATTTATCAAGCAACTTTTTAGAGTAATACTCCGACCGTCATTATGGAGATGAAACATGACAACGAGGGCAACGAAATGCTGTCCCGGACTCAATATCGAGGCGAGTCTTCCGCCAAACGGAAAACATGATAATTAACTGCCTTCTCAAATCTTCCCTTTTGGCGGCAGAGGACAGGGATCATTAAACAGATTCGATTGATGGAGTACTGAGGACATATTTTTTGCGCTGCTGATTTTCCCTTTCTTCCCTTTTCTTTCTCCACACTAGTTACTGCCTTTGATTTAAAAGTTAAATATTATCTCAATTTTTACTTCGGCTCATTTCACGCTGCGTTGAATACAATAATGCAATTCAGAAATTCACAACACCACCCATCTTGGGTACGCGAAGGGGCTTGGGGTTTTTTTTTTTTTTTTTTGTCTTTTTCATTTTTAATATTTCATTCGATTTGTATTTCTTCGGCTTCGTTTTCATCTCAACTTCAATTCCACCATCCTTTCCTTTCTCTCAGGTGTTGAAGCCTAAGCATCTCTTCGTTCAGTTCCCATATGAGCCAGTAATGAGAATTTTTAGTTAAGATAGATAGTTGGAAACTGGCGGGTAGTCAACTGCATTGAAAAAATGCACTTCATCTCTGTCGTGGTGGCAGGTGTTTCTATCCCATTTCTAACGTATTGTAACCATTGCGGCGCTACAACTCCGACTGACATTCCATGACGAGTAATATAGAATCCTGTCGAGATCCATGTTGGTCTGGCGAGTTTGCCTTCATATATCATCGGTTAACTTATCAGAATAGTGAAGAGCGGTAGAAATACTATTTGTGAATATGCTAGGATTTCAGGTGCCTCTCACTCGATTGACCGGGCCCGTGGTGAGGCACAGTTTCGCGTTGTTAGTTACCTCACTGCCCGGACTTGACAAATGTGCAGCCCCCGATTGACAGAAATGAGTGAATGGGGGAACCACCTAGCTAAAGATGAAATGGCTAGCCAAAAAAAAATACATCATCAGTTTGTGGGCCGGGACAGAGGAAATGCTATCAAACACAACTGCTGCTTGTTCCACTAATTATCATCAGTATTGGGGAGTTGGGAGGGCAGATGCAAGAAATGACAACTGAGAGAGTGAATGATAGTTTGGTATTGAAATGGTTAAGACGCATTTAGAGAACATTGATAAACAATAGTAAAAGCGCAAGCAGAGGATCGGTAAGGGTTGTCCGCAAGTAGCAGGGTGGGCACCATGCAGGCAGCTTATGCGCTCTTTGACCGTAAGGGAATATGAACGTGCTTGCCTTGGGCTCTGGGGACAGCGGGAGTAGAAAGGGGGAATCGAAATGGAAGAAAAAGTAAAGCCTTGCGAGTGAAAGATATGTCCTGCTAACATATATTGCCTTAAAAAATAATGACATGCACAGAACCCGTCTATATGTGTTCATGGAAAACGAAGTATTAAGGCCCGCCTATTGAACAACTCCATAAAACCATTCCCATAGAGCGAAGTGTAACCGCTCGCATCCACTCGCGCACTCTACATGAAAAAACCAGGAAATAATGGCAGTTTTGTGGGCTGCTCACCCTTCTCTTCATAGTATTTGTATTCCATCGATTTCAACATCTCATTGAAAACCAATGGTGGAAGCGCACGCGCGAGACAAAGGTCTTTTAAGACCGCAAGACTGCAAGGTGGTGGTTCAGGATATATATTGACAACATATTACAGTACCTCTGGGAAATGTTCATTATGGAGGGAGGGAGATGCAATTGAGAGGAGAAGAAGAGAGCACAACAAGGCAAAAACAACTTACATCCAATGCCGACCCCGCCATTCTTACCCGCAAATTTACACTGGTCCCGTTTCAACTGATAAATAACTTTCGCGAAATCATTAGCCTTCGAGCCAGCATGAACCGGATATGTGAACTATTTTACCGCATTGACCGACATCGCATAGCTTAAGAGCAGCCACTCCAGAGTGCCATTTGGGTCGTTCACTTTAGCTCCCACCCATGTTGATGCGAATAGAGCCACTGGTTTTGTGTATCAGTTAGATGGATCAGCGGCTGAGACTGCTAGAGTTGTGGGCCACAATCCGTAAGTACATGATTGTGTGCTGCCAGCGAGGGAGTCTTTTCTGATCACGTTGCCTTGTCATTTCCACGGTTGCTTGAATGGTCGGTTGCTTTTCCTTCGGCCTTTCGATTATTTTGGAGTGCTGATATTAAATCTTGTAAATATGAAGATGGAAGCGTGATTCTGAGGATCTAAGAAATGTTTTCTTTCGAGACCGTAGAGTTGTATGAGTTGAGTAGAAAATAACATGATTTATCATGGCTAGTAAATAGCAATGAGGTGTGTATATTCTGTTCGTATGTTATCCTGAGTTTTGGGTTTTTGACCTCCAGGAGACAATATCGTAGCATGAATGAAGCGGGATGATCTTTTATCAGGCATAAGATTTTCCTTGAAGGCAAAACTTAGGATATGGAACGAAACTTTGTTCCATGAGAGAAAGATATGTCGCTCCATTGCAGTTTTTCTTGAAGCAACATTCATGAGGCAGCAAACCAATCTTCCAACCTGGTTAGCTAGTTGGGTTAAACAAGGGAGATCTACTCTCTCGATGCGGAAGTTGAAAGCCAGGACGCGGAGACACAAAACATGCATTGTAGAATTTAGTGTGGCATGCTTTCATCCTTTAAATTTGTATCGTTTATGCTTCAAACGTTGGCCAACTTAAAATCAAACAATGGATCTGTTATGTTTTAAGAAGGCGCTTCGTCGGGTCCCAACTTTAAGTCAAGCTTCAGGAACCCCCTTTGTCTCGATAAGAACACACTATGCCTTCGAAGGGATACGAATAGCATTATAGGTACCCAAACTCTGCGGAAATCTTGTAACCTGTCATGAGAGAGACTTGTTATTCACCCCTTTACCGGAAACTCAAGAAAATGAGATGGTCCAATGGCTTCTTGTTTTGTGCTGGCTAATCGTCGCATATTTTTCGCCGAGAACAAACTAGTCACGATGCTTTCCAATCGGCTCATTTCCTTATCCAAGGAGAGCAGGATATGACAGTGTCTTCTCTGTTTTGGTGTTTCAACTGTCGTAAACAAAAGAAGGGGGGAAAGACGACGCGGAACGATAAAGTGTGTGTGTGTGTGTGAGAGAGAGGTGGTGGTGGGGGGGGCGGTGAGGGTGAGTGAGTGCGTGTGAGTGAAGAAGAGAAGGATAGATACTTAGGCTTGTAGGATGCGAATCCCATCAAAACATGAGTATGCAAGAAGATGGTCATATTTCCCTAGCATGGGACTATACAATGATAGAGTTAATACTTCTATTTTCCTTCCTTTATCTGCCCAAAAGTAGATATCATGAAGATGGTCAGAAATTCGCCTTCTCAACGTGAGAGAGTATTAACATCGCATGCAAAACTTACTGTTGGAAGAATGCCCAAGGTCTCGTTGCAAATGCGCATGACGCCATTCTCGTGTAAATGAGGAAGCGCAAGGGGAGAAATTGGACATATTTGTGCCACATTCACAGTCCCACTCAAGGTTAAGAGACATTGAGAAGTACGATAAAGCTAGGCCGAACGGGGTAGACGGATTGTAGCTTATATGACCAAGTTTCTTTTCCCCGAAGCTATCAGTGGCTCCTCCGACTCGCCATTAGGAGGTAGTGGATTAGGAGATGATGTGAATATATCTAAGATGGGACCTTCATGTTTCATCAGTCAAGTTGGTCAGGCGCATCGTCTTCCGTTTAGAACCACGCTATTGTTCGAGGATCCATAGGATTCATGCTAAAGACCGCGACTTCTCTACGTTATCCAAAATATCAATCCATACAAAGATCCTCCAAGAGTTGCAGCATTCGCAGCCGAAGATTCTTGAGTTCATCGGGAGTAAGGCGGCCACTTGACTCCGTACCCGAAGCTGGATCGGATGGTAAAACAAGTAGTCCGCGCTGGGTAGTGAAGAATGGTATACCAAGAGCGCGAAGCTCTGCGTCTAGAGCATTTGACATGCTTGTCAGTGCTTTGTATACCTTTCTGTCATAAGTTTCAAGCTCGAGTTTATCCTCTTCAGGGGTCTAGAGGTAAGCAGACCCATGTCAGCACAATGACTTGCTGGAATAAACCACAAGGCGCAGTTATTTAGGCATGCAATTTGACAGAAATAGATTCGGTGTTTAAGCATGTCAAATGGAGAATAACATACTGGACCGTCAGAGTCGTTTGCAACCACCCCGCCTATCGATCGTCTAGGAATGAGTGTTAATCAATGATTCCACGAAGCATCATTCTAGTTGGGCGGAACGGATTAGGAATCTCAACTTACAAGACCTCATTAATCTGTTTCTTCTTTGCTGCCCGGCCCTCTTGTTTTGCTACCAATGCTATCCTGCCCTCCCACCACTGTTTCTCATGGTCATGCTGTGAACGAATCAGCCTCCTAATCTTGGACTGAATAGTCTCATTGTGAGCCACGGTTTTCATGACATATTTCAAGGCTGCTTGCCAGACTATTATGGTGGACGGGTCAGGTAGGATCGCTGTTGGGTCTACATGCTGAGGGGTTTGTGCTTGAGTTTCATGGATAGAAATAGGAGCTGCTCTAGAATACAAATTCTGACTCGAGACCTGAATCGCTGAGTTCAAGGGAGGCCCGGATTGGTTGGGAACAGGTGGAACGTACGCCGAAAGCGTCTTGAGAACTGAGGCGAGATCTGGGATAGCATTGTTTGAGGGTGCTGCCATGACATGCGATGGGGATCTTCTTGACGACAATCCCTTGGATGAAGAGGCTAAATAGAACGGGCCTTTTTCGATTACTGCTCCACCACCAAGAGTCGTAATCTGTATCTATATCTTTATCTCTAATGACTAATGTGGGGCTCTCTCGCACGTTAACCTGGTTGTTGTGAGGAGGTTGACAGTTTGAAGGAGCCGGTGCTAGCCCTGGTCAGGTGTCGGGTCTTGGCATCCAGTTGCTTTTTGCATCATAAAAAACTTCCCTAACCAAACAACAGCGCATCAGGCAACGTCAACGACAGGCCCAAAACAGCTCTGCCTTCGGTTCTTATTTTCCTTGCTGACAGATACAGTCCTTTCGGGGCTTGTATTGCCTGTAGTGTTTTGGAGACCCCGTACTCTGTCGCGAACAGCCAATTGACCTAACCTCAGCTCCTTGAGCAGCCATGTCTCGTTCCGCAGCGGACGCAACCCGCTTCACAGCCACAGGCCCATATGCTTACTCGAAACCAGCAGCGACCAGTTCGCCATCCTCACGATGGGCGGGAGCGGGAAGCGGTCCATCTAATATGGCCCGACCGAACCCGAACCCCGAGGGCGCGAAACGGGAGACTCCCAAACAAAAGGTTGAGCGACTACGTGCTGAGGCCCGGGCCGCACGGTACGCGAAGACCTTCACCCCGTTGGATCGGCTTATGGTGAAGGGGCGGATATGGGCTGATCGTGCGCATAAAATTACGGTGTATACTCTCATAGCTGCGTCTGGTATGGTTTAATCCCCGTATCTCCGAATCCCCCCAATGCGGAAGTATTTCCAATGTTGCATAACGTTTTTAGTTTAGCGCGGCTAGCATATAAAAAGGGGATATGTTGTAGTTGCTTTTCTCTATGGATTTTATTTCCGATTTCTTATTGAAAGAGTGCTAATGTGTCTTTACATTTTGAATTTAGGTATTGCTGCTGCTCTCACAATCTACTCTGCCACATCGTTGATCATTTACAATCGCCGGCAACGACAACTGTGGATTGATAAAGAATTGCAAAAGCTCTTGGACGCAAGGAAGGCATACATCGCAGGCAATCCCACGCCCGACCAGCTCAGATTACTCGAACAGGAAAAGCTTGCGGAAGAGGAAATAAGGAGGAAAGAAGAATTGAAGAAGGAAAGCTTGTTTTATAAGGGAAAAGAGTGGCTATTTGGAGGATTGAAAATGGAAGATGGTGCAAATGGTGACCTGAAAGGGAGTGACGAAATCCCGACTGCGAGACCGAGCATCCTCGAAGCCGTGAATGCCAAGAGAACGGAAAATGGTCCCACATTTGAACAGGGACCTAACCCAGGTGGACTGGGCCAAATGGATCAAAAGACAGATGGAGGACCTAACGAACCGAAACGAAGCTGGGTGAGCTGGATAACGGGACGGTAAATACGGTGGCAAGCTCGTTCCAGCGCGATCTTCCCTGGTCATCAATTTCAGACGCCCTAAATCGCAAAACGAGTAGCTGGGAGTTTCTCTCATTTTCCTTGCCCTCCGTGAACGTATACTTTATCCCTTACCTTCTCGTTTCTCTTTGGACCCATTGGCCGGAGATTTTTCACTGTGCATTTTACCAGCATTGTTGTGGCCATTTTCAGGAGTCTTTGGCGTATATCGAACTCGTTTCCCCTCTATTGTGTACCATCACATCTCTCATCCATCGTCTCGCAATATATACAGAACAACAGTTTAATAAAAATCAGACAAGTGGTACAACCACGATTCAATCTATTCTTGCATCCTCTTTGTGGCCTGGTTTGTGGTGAAGTGACTGTTTGACCCCAGAGCTTCGTAGCTCGCCTCACATATCAGGTGAATATAGGCAGATGTGAAAGCGCTACAGGCGAGTTTATTATAAGCAGCAGAACAATAACCTTTTTGAGGCCCAACGCCCTAGAGAACAACAATAGCACCGCATTTTAGAAGTTCTCATTGATGTTAAGGTTCGTCAAACGCAAACAACCTTTGATACAACCTTGGATACAACCTTTGGAGAATCCTGGATAAACCCAAACCCAGCACGAGGACGGTTTGACCTTTCCAACGTCATTTTTGCAACCTCGTTTGCATGCTCTACCAACATAACTAACGTGCAGAATGAAATGCAGGGGTCAAAACCATCTGAAGGATATGATAATGTTTGCTTGCCAACGAAAATATACCAGGGCCGGAGTGTGGTATCCCGCAACCAGTAATGCAGCTGATCAACTTTCCAAGTCGAGTGCTATGCATGATTGAAACTCGTACGCAGATCGCATGGAGTTGAGTCTTCTTTTTGTTAACTCATATGCAAGAGTTAATTTGTTCATACAATAATACAGGGGCAGAGAACCACTGCTGACTGTTCACTACCATAACGCCGCAATCCCCCCTCCAAGTCCCCAGAAGAGCGAGGCAAATTCCCACGGTCCTGGTTGGCCGCGGGCGCGAGTTTGTTAGCGTGTCACAAAACTCCATAGCCCGGTGGGTGAAGAGGGGTTCTCCAGATTTAATCACGCCCGAAGGACTGGGACGTCTGCATTTGATAGCCAATTAGAACACCGGTTGGCGCCAACGGCAACATTCTAGAAGGGAGAGGACGAATTGTCGGTGGGCTTTGGAATGGAGAACAATATGGAGATCGAGCTAAGGGGATATGTCATTGTTACCAGGCTAGTGCGGCCAACTCACCGCTGATTTGGCTCTGATCTCTCTGCAGAAGCATGGAATAGCCGATGAGCCAGTCAGCGGCTCGTTCTTTTTTGAAAATCCAATTGTTCGGAGTACGCAGGGCGGGTTACGCCCAACGTTGCTAAACTACTCCGCACAAAGTACCTTTTAACGAAAACGAAGCAGCCCATGCACAAAGCCCATAATAATATTCTATTAATCGGCATCGCGGCAAGTCAACGAGTGAATTAGCATGTTACAATCATAACGCAGATACTGGTCTCAGCATAACTATGATTCATTTCCTATCCCTCCCTCTCCCTCCCTCCTTCGGGCTGCCCTAGAAAGATTCGGGATTATCCATACTGTTGGTGCGCCAGCTGCTGCAGCGCGCTGCAGCGGAAACATCTCAGTTTGGAGCTTGCTGGTAATGTGATTGTGGCGTTTGGGCGAGCTGTGGATGCCTTCCAAGGCCGGCTAACAGGGGGTTTATCTCAGGGATAATCGGTTTTAGCGTCATTTTTCTCAGACTGGGTGTCATCGAACCAGTCAATGCTATTTTCTGTGACGAGATCCCCGCTCTGTCAATCTTCTTGTGGTTGCAAATTCCCGTCGTGATTTTCCACTCATCCACCAACCGTATGTGCCAAACTTCGCCCTCTACCAGATTTTGGGACGGTTTATAGAATCATAGTTTGGATTCCCATCCACCATTGACAACAGTCGCTTCGGTAACTGGTCGAGTGGCTTTGCCTTGGATCAGGTTCTTGATTAGGCCGTCACTGAGCGTGGACATGCTTGTTGATTTATCAACGGCTGGATTTTCCTGAAACTGAAGATACTCTTTCCCAGATGGCGACAGGGAGTGCGCAACTTGCCATAGAGCCTGAAGTCGGTAATCGCAACCTCTACAGCGTTGAGTGATTAATCAGTGTTTCAACCATGCTCACACCGAATTCACCTATTCAGCTCGATGCAGCATCCGACGAGACAGATAGCACAGTTTACACCGACTACGATTCTATAGCCTCGACACTCCCTAATTACATATACCAAAACGGGCGACGGTATACTTCGCAAGGCGTGAAATATGTTCGTAGAAGCCTGCCTGAAGCTGTGGATGGGTTGTCACTATACTGACATGAAGTGATTACCAGTTACTGCCGAACGATGAACGTGAGCAAGAACGTCTCGATTTCCTTCACCACATATTCCGATTGACGCTAGATGGGGACCTTTGTTATACAAAACTAGAGAATCCCCAGAGAATATTGGATATCGGAACGGGTACGTTCTAAAATCCTTCCAACCCATATCACTACTCTAGCATCGAATCAGCGCCCTCGGTGTGGATATGTAACCTTCTATAAGCTAACACTCTTCACGCCAGGGACCGGTATATGGGCGATGGATAGCAAGTCTCCCCTCCGGTTGACGCGTATATCATCGAATATTATATGCTAATACTTCGATGCAGTGGCGGAGATTTACCCTGGTGCTCATGTCATCGGAACAGACCTCTCTCCCATACAACCCGGAGGGTGAGCTTCAAAAATCCAATGAACTAAGCAATCAATAGTGGATCACGTAACTGACTTGTCTCCCGCGAATGAAGAATACCGGATAATGTTGAATTCATAGTGGATGACGCTCTACAAGAGTGGACGTTTCCTGAATCGTCCGTTGACTTCATACATATTCGTTGCTTAGGGGGCAGCATACCTGACTGGCCTCAGCTTCTATCTCAATGCTATAAGTGAGTTTATCCACCGTGCATACCCTTCCCTTTCATTGAGCTTCATGACTGATTGATATTTTCTGAAGAGTGATCCGACCTGGTGGCCAGATTGAATTGTCTGAGGCACGCACACAACTTTGCTGTGATGATGGAAGTTTCCCAGAAGAATCTCTTTGTAAAAAATGGATGGTGAGTTTATGGTCTAGTGCACATGAATCCAATCATATCATAATTTCTTATCTGTCATATCAAGGCTCATTTCAACCACCCTTGTCTAAAACTCTGCATACAAGCAAAAAGGAAAAAAGGGGAAACTCAGTTATTAACAACCACTGCAGAAAGAACACCAGCGACTTGCTAAAAAATGCGGTTTTCACTTCGACGTTTTCCCAGAATTCCGCGGATGGGCATACAATGCAGGCTTCGTCGACGTTGATACGTCGGAGAAGATTGTGCCTGCCGGGACATGGCCAAGAGACAGGAACTTAAAACGTCGTGGGGCCTATTTTATGGCTCAGCTTTTGGATTTTGCACTCGACAGTTATTCTGTTGCCCTGTTTACCCGTGGCGGAGGCTGGCATGAAGAAGAAGTGCGAAGTTTGTTGAATGGCGTGAAAGCCGAGCTACGGACTAACAAAATGCATCTTTACACTCATTTGTACGTCGTCTACCTTGCAAATAATTCTGATGAAGAACGCTGACTGATATATTCATGTAGCTCCTTTTGCATCGCCAGAAAACCATTGAATGGATAGGAGAACGGAGCAACATTGTTTTTCCTTTTTTTTCCTTTTTTTTTTTTTTTTTTTTGGGGGGGGGGGGGGGGGGGGGACTCTCGCCCCTTGGCAAATCTTTATTTGCTGCGGTACGACAGAAAATTCAAGCGGAATGCACAGCCATTCGAAATGGCAAAAAGAAAAGTTGCGCCTATCATTTGTTTAAGAATTTTAGCAATTACACGAAACTTGCCTCTTCCGTCGACGCTCAAGCCCCTTCAAGTCCCATGCATGATGCGAAGCCGTTCCTGGAAATGTGCGGTAAAAATAATATCCGTTGTTCTTCACGCCAGACACGCAATCCACCATTTACATGGAATAGCAATAATGCCTGCCGATATGAAAAATCGAAGGAAAAAATTAGATATTTTATGACCGCTGTATAATTCACCTAGTACTATCTCGAGGAAAGAAGGAGTTGAAGGCTAAGAAAGCGGCACGGGAAACCTATAGAACCAAAAGATGATGGCCGATCTCTACGCCGGGTTTTTTTGTTCCATTCTATTTGCTTTTTAATATCTCGTGGTTAACTATTTCCAGGCAGAACCCTAATGAATGTCATAATTTTTCTTCACATTTTTTATTACATCCCGTCATCTGGACCCAGAATATCCGAAACACCAACCCATCCCGCTCCTCTCCACTCCATCTATTTCCAATTCCCAAAGAAAAGATATAATCGAGGTTGATATCTCCCCTTTACTCCAAGCCTATATTATTATTAAAAAATGACTTTGTCAGGGGTAAATTGGCAGTAATACTACCTGGGGTCTCGCTCACCGCATCAAAGTTTGCACGCCCAGCCACAAGGTCAGCGCCAGCCACACCTCCGCTGCTTACGAAACGATTCGGCTCAGCTCTGGTATGACTGCATACAGGTCTCAGTTACAAGCGGTGGGCTTGTTCAAACATGAGAGCTAGGGAGCCTTGGAAAGTTAACGGCGAGCGCTGCGTGCTGTTAACGTTCGGGCAGATATTTCATTATCTATTTTCATTTTTGGGCCTTTTTTTTTTATTTTTTTTATTTTTATTTTTATTTTTTTTAGGCTAATAATAGTTATCTAATGTTTAACTCTTCTTCAAACCAAGCACCTTTGTAGTCTATGAGGGAAACTAGCTAGCGACCGAGCCTTTGTTCGATCTGAGAGCTTTTCGCAGATATTGCATCATCCCGCTGTATCATATGCTAATCAGTTCAATTAATTACTGAAGGGTTCTGTCTGACTCCTTGTATTTTACAGACCCACATCTGGATGAAACGGCAGAATATATGAGATTTCATATATATTCTGCTCTCCCTTGACTAATTCCATGCATTCTTCATCCTCAATCTCCAGGAATAAGGAATTCAGGCCTTTGTTTGATATTGAAACTTCCATGTTAAGGGCGACAACTATTCAAAAGTCCTCTTCTAACGTGGAAGAGTCTGCGCACAAATCATCCTCTTCATCAAGTCTGCATAGCTGCTCTATGATGAAATGATTAAAGAGATGAGAAGTCAGGCACAGTGCCTAAATACCTTAATAAATAACTATTCAGCTTAACAGGGGGAGCAGTAGAGCAGTGGGAGCAGCGGCAGTAATGGGAAAACTCAGATACCATATCATTTCTTGATGTACCAGTAGTACATTAAGAAATGATATTTCTCTTCCTCTGATTCCCCTCTCTATTTTTGGATTTATCTATAAGCCTTTGTTTGCATCTAGGAATATTACATTTTGTATGTAATTTACTATAATTGACCTTTTACATTGTAACTTTACTGCTCCTGTTCTCTCTTTAGAACAAATCCAATCTCTAAAATGCTGTTCTCCTCAACATTTAGACATGATTTAGTAATATTCAGGAGAGTGTGTCCGTCAACTAATCTGCAAATATGAGAAATACTGTCATGCTCAAAAATTCTAAGCATCTGCTGATATATGCAAGGGATGGTTGATTGACCAGAAACTGCTCACGAATGGTAAAAAGTAGTTAACGTCTTCATATCCCTGAAAAAAAAAAAGAAAGAAAAAAAAATACTTAAGCGGACCCATTGACATGACCGTTAGTGATTCCATTAGTACCATTCGTACCATTCGTACAATTAGTCGTGGTTTCATTTTGCTTTGCGCCATGAACAGACCTACGAACACGAACAGCCTCTGCAAGATTCTCGAGCACACTGACGGTCATTTCCCAATTGATGCAGGCATCAGTTATGCTAACACCCTTGACGAGACCAGATGGTCCCTCGGGCGGCACCTTCTGGTTACCTTCGTAGATGTTCGACTCGATCATGACGCCAATGATGCCCTTCTCGCCATTCCGCAGCTGGTCCGCAACACAGTTTACGACTTTTGGCTGATTGAGATGGTTCTTATTCGAGTTGCCATGCGAGCAATCCACCATAACGATTTCACGTTGCTTCGTCTTGCGCAGGTCTTGGCGGGCAGCTTTAATGCTCTCTGGGTCGTAGTTGGTACTCTTCGTGCCGCCACGGAGGATCACGAAGCCATGCTCATTGCCGCTCGTCTTGGTGATGGCGGCCAGTCCCTGTTTCGTGACCCCTAGGAAGTGGTGGGGGTGTGCAGCTGCCCCAATGGCGTCTATAGCGACCCCGAGGTTCCCGTCTGTGCCATTCTTGTAGCCAACGGGGAAGCTAAGGCCTGAAGCAAGCTCCCGGTGGAGCTGGGATTCGGTTGTTCGGGCGCCAATGGCACCCAGGGAGATGAGGTCTGCGAGGTACTGGGGAGAGACTGTGTCCAGCATTTCACTGGCGATGGGCATACCCATTCCATTGAGGTCAGCGTAGAGTTTTCTCGAGATACGCAGGCCCTTGTTAATATTGTAGGATTCATCAATATCTGGGTCGTTAATGAGGCCCTTCCAGCCTACAGTGGTGCGGGGCTTCTCCAAGTAGGCACGCATGATGATGCAGAGGTCCGACTTGAGCTTGTCAGAGAGAGTCTTCAGTCGTCTACCATATTCTAGGGCGCTATCTGGGTCGTGGATGGAGCAGGGCCCACAGACAACCAGAAGACGGTCATCCCGTTGCTCAATGATTTCAATGACCTGTTGGCGACTGTATTTGACAGTTTTGATGGCTAGTGCTGGCTGAACAGGGTGTTAGAAGCCATGTATATCTTGCAAAAAGTTGTCTCCCTTCCCCTTATCTTCGTATCTCTTCAGATATCACCCTCTTTATTGGCCGTAAGCATCAGAACAGGTGTGACTCACAGCACGGATTTCATTCTGGAGGAACTGGGGGGAGAGGAGAGGGTCATATCCCAAGACTAACATATCAGTTAGTTCCATGGGAGTGTTTTTAAAGCGATGATAAGATTTAAGAGTCGTCAACTCACTCCGGGTGTCCTCATTGACTTCGACAGAAGCCTTGACGAGCGGCATCGTGAGGATGGTGATGTATATAGAAAAAGGGTTATTTGCGTGTTGTAGCTAGCTCTGCGCAGGGTTTTTTCAAGTCTGCAGACGACCTAGTTGAGAGCACAGAAAAGAAACCAAACACAGCTGGCGTCGTAGCGTTGCTATTTAAGAACTAAACAAGCAAGACACAAAAATGGGCTTTGGGGGCTTATGGGCGGGGCATTTGTTTTTCTGCTGGAGGTTGGTTACTTTTTTATCGTGGTGCTACCTAGAGATTTTGGTGGTGCTTAACTTTAACAGAGTCTCTTAAGGACTTCGGGCCGCGACTGACTCAGATAAAGTGCGTCCGATAAAAATTTTCTGGCGCTGCCCGCCGCCTTGTGCGCTACATTTTTTATCGGTAGATTGCACGTGACGCGTGTCAAGTTCCTCTTAACTTGGATCTCAGGTGGATACGGTGGATGTGGGGGGAAGGTTTTGGGTCCAGACAAGCCTTCCAAAAGCCACGAACAGGTGAAAAAATTGGGATCCATGGATGTGTCGCATCCCGAGGCGAGGGGTTTGGGTACGGGCTGCTGGAAAAATAAGAGTTGCAGAACCTGTCAGGGTTCAGTGCTGTTCAGCGCTGTTCAGTGTTGTTCAGTGGCTCCCTGAAAAATCCATGCCTTGGGCATATAATTGGCTCTCCGGCTTTCAGTTAACTTGTTTAAAATCCCCCAAAGCCTCCGCTGCCGCCCAATCCGGGATCTCCATGCAGGCTGAGCCTGCCGCGAACTGAAGCCCAAAATAGGACCTTTTAAGTGGTAGTCAACACTACTGGGTTTGCAGTTAGAGCTGTTGCCCTCAGCCAATTGATAAACTGCGTGCTGGACAACTCAACTTTGGGTTTCTAATGCCGATGAACCCTGCCCCTCCTTTCTGCCACTCTCTTTTGCTGGGATCTACAGGCACAAAATTCCCTTCCTGTCAGAAACATCACAGCTTCATCTCCTCTCAAAATTGAACATTTTAGCTTGAATTTTCAAAGGTTATGAAGCACAAACCGCTGGGTTATCAAGTGGTTTGACAGTAGGTTTACATCTTTGTGGCAGGCTTTCAGTTCTCTCCATCCATTGGTGGGTAATACAAAGCAAAGAAAAGAGTGGTTACAATTCACAGAGACAGGTCGATTTTGAGGTTCAAATGAAAGGATACGAGTCAAATGACATGCTGTGCTCGTGTCCTCATTGCTGTCATTACCAGCGGCTTGCCCGCATGGCGTGACTTCAAGGTTTGACAAGTCTATTTGAGGGAAATGATTTCTACTGGCAGGAATTTATTGGCGGCTACCCAGGCCACGGTGTTTCTGGACTCCAAAACTTGTGCCAGTGCCGTTCATTCTTTGTTGTCAATACAGTTGCCAACCCGCCTGCAATCCATCGCTCAGATGACTGTTTATCAACTGATAGTCAGAGCCTTACAATGTCTCTTATCATAACAGTATCATGTGGGGATATCGGAACTGATGTCAACATACCAAGCCTCCTCGCACCCGTGCAACATCACCTCATTTTCATTTTTCGCTGGAGAGGGAGGTCAGCGCGACCAGAGCTGATCACCCACTATTTTCAGCCCTCGCGAGTCGCGACGTGTGAAGTTGCAACTTAGATCGAGGATCGACCACTGGTTTGCTCCGAACAGATTGAGTACGGAATAATTTTGTCACCAGTCTCAACTAATCAACAATTTTGCAGTATCCCGTATTAAATGGAATATTTTCCTCATTGTTTTGCCCAAATCTAATTCTAGAGCCGATAACCTTCTCGGTTAGCTATACAATTGCGGTCATTTTTCCTCATGACTCTGTATTCTAGACTCCATCCATTCGGTATCCTGTCTATGTACACACGTGTCTTTTTTATGGGGACGGAGAGAAGAAGATATGCCTTTGTTGGCAGGAATTGTTCCTCAGTGCCTTTTTGCGTATCCATGTCATCGAAGTAATAACCTGAAAAGACCTATGCCTGGCAAATTGCCAGTATTATTACCATTGCCAAGACGCTACTGAGTAAGCTTTGTGCTTATTGTGCATCTTCAGGTACGCGTTAAACTTGACGGGTTGAATTGGCGGCTAATTTCCGGATTAATAAATTTCCAGATACAACTCCGTGACTCAATTTGGCGCTAGTACCTAACTAGGACTAGCGTCAGGGTGCTAAAACTCTCTAAATGCTTCTGATTGAACGCTAGGGCTCATCAGCTAGAGCACCACCATTTCCCAACAAGGTAACAATGTGGCGCTTATATCGGCTACAGTCAGCCACAGCAACCTTCAAAACTCCAAGACTCCAAGCTCCTATCTCAAACAGACTATCTCCAGGGATCAGACAGGAGTAGTATCATGCAGGCTGAAACCTTGCACCATTGTCCTCTGCAGCGCTAATAACCAGTCTGCTCATTACATATCTGATCTCTGCTTCTTGCTCGCTCCTTTTATCCATTCCTCCCAAGTTACTCCTTTCAAACACGCAGTGTTGAGACGTACCTCATACACCTTGCAATTCTTCATCACATATATCGTCTGGCTAACCGGGAGTGATGTCTGCTATCTGTTCTAAACGTCAGAGGGACAACGACTTTGAGGCGCGAGATGTGGACTGGGAGCGGGAACGACAGCGGAAGGTAGGTGTTTGCGAAACACATCCCCCAATTTCTATTTTGATACACCAATTTTGAGGGCTGGCCTTAAAATATATGTTCGCTGTTACTCCCTTCTTAATTTACTCTGCAAATTGCCTATACTGACTATCCTCTTCCCAGAAACTGCGGCCACTTCCATTCCGGGCCTCCCCAACATCGAAACACACCACTCTATTCTCTCAAACTCGCCAGTTCCTATCTGTCGATATCCTCCCAACCATTACTCCCATCGAATCATCCGATGACGATGAAAATGGTACGGTGTCTGACATGGTTTTGTCCCCTCGAAGCCAAATGGGGAGGAAGGACGACATGCCATTTCTATCCATTCGGGTGCAACCCTCTCCCGACACAGACTCGGATCTTGAAATGACCGACCAACCTCGCTCGTCGAACAACCTCTCACCACCCTCCACTGGACCGACACCCAGCTGGCCTGGGAATGCTGTACCATCGCCAATCCCCCATCATCTCATTACACAATCTCTCAATATCAGTGGGGGCCGCACTGCAACTCCGATCTACGGACATTTCACAACGAATATGAAAGTGGATGCCATGAGCCAGGGTTCTGATAATGCAAATAATGACCCACCTTCTTCTTCCGCCGTTCCTGCTGCTGCCTCAACTCCTGCTTCGCCCAGCAGTTCGTCACGAGATCCAACAGGTGGAGAAGACTGGTCGCGCCGTCGGAGACTTCCAAGCCCTATCAGCGAAGACGAAATCTCTCCAACTCACCCCTTTCCCCAAGCCAATCGAATTCTCGAACCAAATACTACACCAGCATCTCCATCTACCTCCACTCACGGTTTGGAGGAAACATCACCTAACCACTCCAGCTCAGCTCCGCAGTCCTGGGCCACCCACGCCTTGAATCAGACTTCTTCAACAACGTCAACAGGCGACCAATACACTGGAATCAGCAACTTAGCTCCACTCACCCAGGACTCCTCTGCTAGCTGTCTACAGCATGCTGTGGGCGGCGATGATAGGGATGCTTACCATTCAGATAGCTGGGTCGGGCAAACCACAACAGCTCCTATTTCTCCTCCCGCCACCAACGATATGACTCCCCGACCCGGCAAGTCTAAAATCATCATTGCTATGGGCTTCCGTTCTGACTGTGACAAATGCCAGCGTCGTGTACCTGGACACTACAGCCATATCATCCGTGGTTAGATAAAGTCACCGTTGCTTTTACTTTTGCCTTATTTCGTTTTTCCTTTCCATTCTTTTTTCAGGTTTCACAAGAAATAGCGACGACAACCAATTACCCTACATCTTTGTTTGCGAACCTTTGCCTGTTTTATCCTTTGTATTTTAACTATGAACTTATGGTCTTTTTATCTTCTTGATAGCAAAGACACACTGCGCTTGTACACCTGCGAAATATTTGCATGCATTGCACCGTTTTTGTGCTAAATGATATTTTTGATATTGGTGTTTATGGTTTTACTCATGTAACTTGTACGAACGAACGACCGGACTTAGGTAACTAGTCCCAATTGGCAATAGAATGGAATTAAAATTGGTGGAATGTATGACAAGTTTTATGAAGACTAATTTTATTTTATTCTATTTTATTTTTTGAAGTTGAACTCCCTTCCTCTCCACCTTTGTCTATTATTCCTGAGATCTCAAGTCGGCTATTTATTCCTGCCATTTTGGGTGTCTACGTATGTGGAAATGGTATGCTCTTATGGGTAAGTGGTCTCTCCGTGAGCGTGTACGGAACCCAGAGATGGTAGAGACGGATATAAAAACATATCTCTCGTTGAGATTGACGTACCACAAAAGGTTCGCGTCCTAGCCCCGGTAGAGGTAGAGTGCAACAACCACATGTTTCTTACCACTATTAGTCGATGGCTTCTCCAGGTTTCTCTTTCCGTGTCATTGGCTTCAACAACTGTTCCTGGTTGCGGAGAACGGGCCGGCATAACTCTGATAGCTACCAAGATTTTCCATGTTTTAAATTTGCTTGTATCAAGGGATAGACAAGGGGTAGTTTGTTTATTGACAGAAAATCTTAGATATATGTTTGTACGTGGAGAGTTCATAACCAGCCTCACTGGGTAGCTATTGAAATGGCACGCAGTGTATCCCAGAACAATTACGGAAACAAAGGGAAGAAAGGATATAACCCACGAGCACGTTTAAGCTTAACAAGGCAAGCGTCGTAAAAGTTCAATAACATCGCAGCCATCCCATTCCCATTACCACCTGTGGTATCACATAGCATAGCGTAGCAGATCATCGCTTGGCAGAGTAGTTGTCAAAACCTCCAGAATCTTCCTCTTATCCTCATAACTACCAATGACAAAAAAGGACCCATGTCGAAGCAAATTCTCCGCCATCTGTCATCACCCATGCAACCCAGTAGCTATCAAAATAAATCAACATCCTCCTCCGCCTCCGCCATCGCCACCACCTCCTCCACCGCCGGAATCACCACCGCCACCATCGCCACCAAACCATCCGCCACCTCCAGACCCGCCTCTCCGCTTTGGATTCCGTTTATTATAGGCTGGTTGGTAATACTGGCTTTGATATACCGGACTACCCATCTGTGGGTAGTAGGCGACAGGGCGGGATGGCGGGGTTTGGAAGTCTCGATCCTTAGAGGAAAAGCACATTGTCTTTTGTGGGTTTGTTGTTTTTATCTTTTTATCTTTTTATCTTTATTTATTTTATTTATTTATTTATTTATTTATTTTGATTGTGGAGGTTTGTTCGTGTACAAGAAGATAGAAGATATGCAGTTTTTGGTCAGAGAAGGGATATAAGATACAAATATAGAGGTGTAAATGTATCCTCTCGCTGTGGTTGAGTGTGGCTATGATCTGATTTTATAAGATGATCTGGTCAGTCAATGTTTGAGGATGAGGCCAAAACAAAATAGAGATTGCAAATATTCGTCGTCTTATATAGATAGAATCAGACCCCCTGTCACCTCCACTGATCAATCCATATATTTATAAAACAAGTCAGGTCAAAGGAAAGTGGAAAGACCTTCGATTTTGAAACACGGAAATATCCCAGAGAAGATAGTCTTGTTGAAACGATCGCCATTATTATTGTTTAAGCCTAAATTCTGTCAGCCTTGTCATTGCTTGCTGAGAACTTAACCGAAGGATATCATATTCCACTGCTAAATTGTGGATTAGTCGCTGGGAATTGTGTATGCATTTTCTATATATTGATGCACACCAAAAACCCTGCTGTACCACAGCCCCAGCGGATTGGGGCTGAGCTTTGCGCACAGGTTGATCGCACGTGGAACGCTTCGGGGAGATTCAACGTCATATTCTAGAAGACTTGAAGTTCACGTTAGGCGCTTTGGTTGATTGTAAGCCCAACTCAGCAGTTTGACACAAGATCCATAGATGGGTAAAAAGTCTTGAGGTTAGAATACGAGAGGGTTCGCTGCAAATGGTGGTTTGGTCTGGGACTGTCCAATCCTGGAAAGACACAAAATCATGATCGCCCTTAAAAGGTGAGGTTTAGAAGACAAATCCAAGGAAGATTCAAACTAGTCCACTTGTGCCTGGGATGTTTCAGTCAGTTTGGGTTCTCTATCTTTTCCTTAGTCAAGTCAAGCATTTTGTTCATCCGGTTGTTTGATATTGTCAGATCGAGTCCACACAACTGGAAAGCTGTTGAACCAAATACACAACAGATGCTCACGTGATATAGATGTTATATAAGAGGAGGAGATTGCCGAGATTTGAGCCGAAACTCTAATTCTTGTAACTGGGAAATCCACGTGACATGGTTCTCCGCCCTTAGGGTTGAAGCTCCGACTTCGCCAAAACCATCATCTGTAACAAAATTTTGATGATGGGTTTACCTGATGGGAATGAGTCATGGATGGTAAAGATTTTCCTTACTAGTTGAAATGTTGTGGAATGATTTAAAGTCCATGGTTCGTTTGCCCATTTGTTATATCTGCTCTCAGCTTACATAATGCGTAAGCCTCTCACTGTCGGTTGAGGGTGTAGCCGTCGGTTCTCAGGTGGGGATCGGGTCAACAAAATTGGATATATCAAACTGTTCGGCCCGAACATGACTATCTTGGGATTTTTATACGTTTTCTTGTCTTCAGCAAACAAACATCACCTGGGCAATGTCATTAGGCATCTTTTGATGCTGTCCTCCTTTATTCATCCCTCCCCCAAAACAACCAACTAAATACAACCTACCCAGTAATCTACCTAGTTTTACATATCAGTCACAGGAACAGCGACGATGTCGGGAACAGCGCAGAAAGGCCTGCAGCAAATCCTGAAAAAATCACCGTTAGATGTCGTCATCCTCTCTTCTCTCCGAACAGCAGTAACTCGAGCCAAAAAGGGCGGGTTCAAAGATGCCTACCCCGAAGAACTTATATCCCATGTCCTACGCGCCACTCTTGCCGTAAATCCAAAGCTCGACCCCGCGTTGATTGAAGATGTAGCCATCGGGAGCGTTTTGCAAGAGCTGGGTGGTACAAAAGCTGCTCGAATGGGCCAGATACACGCAGGCTTTCCCAACACCGTTCCTTTCCATACAGTCAACAGACAATGTAGCTCAGGGCTAGCAGCAATCACAACTATTGCGCACTCTATTTCCGTGGGCGCAATATCGGTTGGAATAGGTGGGGGCATGGAATCCATGACGCGCAATTATGGCTCACGAGCTCTTCCAACTGTTTTGTGGCCGGAGCTGCGAAATTCTCCATATAAGGATGCGAGGGATTGCATCATGCCTATGGGCATAACGTCGGAGAATGTTGCAGAACGGTATGGCATTACGCGCAATGACCAAGACATCTTTGCAGTGGAGTCTCACAAAAAGGCTTCGGCAGCACAAGAGAAGGGATTTTTTAATCGCGAAATCGTGCCCGTTACTACCAAGAGTTTTCTTGAGGGCCAACCTGAGGGACCCGCGACCGAGATTACAGTTACTAAAGATGATGGTATCCGCACTTCGATCTCCATCGAGAAACTAGCTGCCCTTAAACCAGTATTCTCAGAAACAGGATCTAGCACCGCTGGAAATAGTTCTCAGGTCAGCGACGGTGCAGCTGCCACCCTGCTCATGCGCCGCTCGACAGCAGCAGAACTTGGCCTCAGTTCCAGTATAATTGGGAAATGGGTATCGACGCAAGTGGTGGGTTGCGCTCCTGATGAAATGGGAATTGGACCTGCCTTCGCCATCCCGAAGGTTCTTTCTCAGACTGGGCTGTCGATATCTGACGTTGGGATCTGGGAAATCAATGAGGCATTTGCTAGCCAGGCTCTGTTCTGTATTCGGAAACTTGGTATTGATGAAAATAAAGTAAACCCTAAGGGTGGAGCGATCGCTCTGGGACACCCACTGGGAGCAACTGGTGCGAGACAGCTGGCAACTCTGCTCCCTGAGATGGAGAGGCAGGGAGAGCAGGTTGGGGTTGTGAGCATGTGCATCGGGACAGGTATGGGCATGGCAAGTGTTTTTGTCAGGGAATAGAGTCTGGCTTGTTTAAGCTGTATGGGGATATATCCTTCACCATTTTGTTATCCCTAATCTAATTTTTCAGGTTTTGTTATCGCATTTACCCGACTGCTCGAGATACCAGCGTGACATTTATCATCAATCTATATAGATTCTATAAAAGTTGGATTGATATAGCATCCATATATTTCTCTCTTCGCAAACACTCCAACTTATAAATAACCTCCATTATATGGATTTCTGGTATACCTGTGGGCATACTGATTCTTATCTCGCTTGGGGAATCCCGTCTGGTTCACACTACAACTAGTTAATCACGTGATCTATATCCCATTTTCAGTGTTTCTCCGAAACAAGATAAAAAAAAAAAAACTTCCAACGCAATATCCAACAAAAACGCCAAAGATGTCCCTACCAGTACGTCTGCTGGGCCCATTGGAGGCGGCACCATCTAGGATCTCCAGTGCCCTGTACGTCTGCTCGACTTGCAGACGCCAATGCCTACACCAGTCTCTCCGAATAGTCAACCATCACTCCGTATCGCGCCGACCCATCTCGTCCACCAGCAGCAATAACAGCGATAACAACGGCAACCTATCCGTCACTGAGAAGCTGCGCAGGAAAATATGGGGAACTGACAAGCCTCCAGGGCTCAATGATCCATATGGGAGTGAAAGCCAGCTTGATATTGTGAGCAGTGAGCCGGA